AAGTATAAATATATAAAAGTATAAAAAGTATAAAAGTATAAAAAGTATAAAAGTATAAAATAGAAAAAGTATAAAAAGTATAAAAAGTATAAAAATATGAGAGTACAAGATAGAAAAAGTATAAAAAGTATAGGAATACGAAGTAGAAAAATAAAAATATATAAATATTATAATTAATAATATAAAGAAATTGTGAAACGTTCTAAGTTCTTTACATGATTTTCATAATTTCATGAAATATTACAGATTATAGAATTAATAAATTTTATAACATAATTGTAACAATATATTAAGATAATAAATTAATATAATTAAAATTTACTTTGCTTCTATATAATAAATAATGCATAAATTTAACAATGATTAAAAATTATTGTTAATCACAATTTAAGATCTAGATGAGATCAAGATCTTAATTAATTAGAGTATTTTGTACTGGTATTAATAGTACAGATACTAATCAATAAGTTTTATATATAAAATTATTATGTATAAATAAAAATAAAAACTATTATATGAAGTAATAATACAAAGTGTGAAATAATAATAGATGCAAGTATATGACAAAAATTAAAAGAATAATTTCAGTTACTTGTGAAAAATATTGAATTCACTCTCATCAATATATAGTAACAAAAGACACAAAAAAATCACCATTCTGAATACATATCCATATAAATTAACTAACTTTTTTACAGAATTCTATATTTATTATTTAAAATTAAAAATTCTAAAGATACTCAAGTGCTATTCACTTTGTTTATAATATAATAGTAACTTAAAAATTTCTTGCAATTTATGTTTTCTAGTATAATATTATAATTATGTTATAAAAATTATTAATTTTATAATTTGTAATATTTTACAAAATTATAAAAATCATGTAAAGAACTTAGAATATTTTACAAAATATTATTAATTATTATATTTATATATTTTTATTTTTCTAATTTTTACTCTTATACTTTTATATTTTTTATACTTTTTCTATTTTGTACTCTTATACTTTTATACTTTTTATACTTTTATATTTATATTTTTTATACTTTTTATATTTTTTCTATTTTGTACTTTTATATTTTTTATATTTTTATATTTATACTTTTTATACTTTTCTACTTATTTATCCTGAATAGATATAACTTAACCAATCAATACTCTTCAAGATTTATACTTTTTCTTCATTATTTTTCTATTTTCTATATTTAGTAAATTGGAATTTATTTTAGTTAGTATAATTATCTTTTCTTGTTTTTAATATTATATTTGTATTTCATAAAAAATATATAAATACAAGTTGTAGTTGAACACTAATTCAATATGTCAGAACTTGAGAATAAATAATATAATAAAATAAATATCTTTTAATACTTAAATAATTTGTCTTCCCCTCTTAACTGTATATTTTAAATTTTGCAAACAAATAGCTTTGAGACTGTATTAAGCTGATCAAAATATTGATATTGAATTATTGAATTAATATTTTGTTATAAACTAGTCTTTTGATATTTTTGTTATAATTGAATTATTTAGAATTTCTCAATTAAAGACATTGTAATCTCTTTCTTGTAAGAAGAATAAAGTGAAAAAGTCTTCATTACTTTGTTATTTTAATTAATTAGTTAAATTGTTTTTCATTTCAATTAAATAATTTATAAATTAATTAGTTAGTATGATTATTCAGAACATTATACCTAATTGAAATTCTATTATCTCATCCCTTTTTCCTTTTCAAACTATAACAATTTCAGTAAAAATTGATATAAGATTTAGATATTATTTTCATATTATTCTTATATTTGTTTAATTATCTCTCCCAACTCTTGTTCATGTTTATTAGCTAATTATCCAATTAGTGAAAAATGTGTAACAATAGTCATGGACTTCTCGTGAAAGTTTTAAAGTTTTTTCAAAGTTTTTTCAAATCTTGTATAATAACCCATAGATTTTTCACCTGTTCACATAATTTTTGCTACCAAATAACATAGACAACAAAATTCTTGAGTGACCAGAGCTTATAAGAAAATGTTTCAAAAAGTCTTTTAAGTGACGAAATAATATTTATTGCAAATTTTAGGACAAAAAATTATTAAAAATCCCACAATTTTTCTATTCCGGATTTCAAGTACGAAAATACCGTATACTCCCGAAATTAAGTACACCCAAAGATAAGTACCCCCTGGCCCGCATTATGACAATTTTGACCAGAATTATTAGGATCTTGGTCAGCGTTATGTGCAAAAAAGAGGTGCTTAATTTTAGGAGTATACGGTAATGAAATTAAAAACCTGGCAAAAATGTCCCGCAAAGAAAGTGACTTTCCACACAAGTTTATTAAATGTCTTGAAAAATTTTGAGTGGGAGTGGAACTCAACAAAAACCAAATAATTGAATTTTACTAATACTTAGCTTCTGCCTTTAATTGCGGCTTCAAGTTGGAGAATTTTTTTAATACACAGGAGTAATACTTTGTACATGTATATTGGATAAAAGTCATATAATATGGTTCATTAGTCGTTGCAAGCACTCCTCATAGTTCCGGTGAAAAATCGAGCTAAAATAAGGCAGGTGATCATTTATCAATCTATACGTGATGGATGGCTACGCCAATAAAACTTCTAAAATAAATTTAATGATAGTATAATAAAATGGCGAATATATTGCATACTATATTAAATATCTATACAGTGCAAGACACCTTAAACCAGCAAATTACTACAATTTTCAAAATTTTTCACAAAAAAACTAATGCAGTTAGAAAACAATTTTTAATGTAAAAAATACAAAAGAATAAGTTACGAAAACTGTTTGTTAATTGGTTAAATTTTAACAAAGTTGAATTGTTTTTAAACTGCAAATTTTACTAGTAAAATTTGCTTGTTTTAAAGTGCAAATTTTACTAGTAAAATTTGCTGGTTTAAGCTGCCTTACACTGTAGATATTAGCAATCTCATAACAGAAAATAATAAATGATGCCGTTGCTGTATGAACATTAAAGCAAGCATCCATGTTCGGTGAACTAACTAATATATTGTTAAAAATCGTCAGTTTGCTTTTTAAGTCACGTTAAACCATGCGAGTTAATATGTGCAAAGTCTTTTCAATTGTTCTACGTATCTCTTCATCGGACAAATCTATTATACCATTAAGGTATACCGATGACATGAAAGTTTCCAGATTTTTTCTTTGTCTTGTCGTGCAACCAAAACTTTGAGTATCTCATCACGAATGTCCATCTCATACTAGAAGATTAAGTGTGAGTGATAATAGTTATTATACGTAAAAGATGGTAAATACCACTCCTGATTTCTTCATCTTGTTCTACGTTGATTGGTTCCGCATCACCACATTTTCAACTTCTATTAGTGGTTTTGATCTTACATGCACATCCACAAGATAAGGAAAGGTTTGAAAAAAGACATATATGCAGACTAATTATCTGTGCTGTCCTTAATACTGTCTGAACAACGAATCCGTGTCATCATTGTCTACCAAAGATTTCAAGTAACGTTTTCCGGTATTCTTTGTAACAACACATAATGGAATAAATAACCGTCGTTTTTCTTTGATCCTTCACCATCCCACTTACCAACTTTGTATCGACCCTTCCGATGACAGTTTGAATTACTGTCGTGGTACTATGCATCACAGAACAGGCTGCACCAATCTGCAACCGAAAAATCACATTCAATATGAATATGGATGAGCAAACCAACCTCGACTAATTGTAGTTCTTTTTCCTTAGTTTAATTGCTGCATCAGCAAGGTCGTCTTCAATTTTATCCCAAAGTACTTATATCTGCACACGGGTACGTAAGACCATAAGTGTGCAGCACGTACGATACCCACTGTACTTATGTGAGTTTTATCCCTACTGGGAGTCTCTCATACTGTCTATCAACTGTAGAAATATATATATATATAGGCAAAGTCCTTTACAACGGCGCTGTATAATCTGATTCGGCTTATACCGTATTGATATCCCGATTTTTACGATTTCAACTATTATATACCGAAGTTTAGAATACAAGCACTATATACCGGCCCAAAAGTGCCAATCCAATGCGGCCGTTGTAAAAGACTTTGACTGTATATAACTTGCCTCAAAGCTTCGTTTCAACTGACCAGCATTAATTTTAACTTCTTCCGAACCTTCTTTCATCAGAAGGTCCAGACTTTCCGGAATCTGTTGGCCTCCTATAGAAAGGAAAATGTGAAATCATCTTGACGATACTTGTAAAGGCCCAGAAAACGGCGGAGTTTCATTGTGCGTAGTTCTGTTTATGAAGAAGGAAGTTTATGTCCGAAAAATTAGTACATGTATCAGACAAAAAAAATTAACACGTTGAAACGATAACAATAAGGGATTTTTGATTTTTTGTATTCAAAAAAAATAATTCACAATTATCACAATCTCGAAGCCTAATATTTATGCTTCTGCAGAGCGTATTTTTTCGTTGTTATTTCGATTCCCGGCTTTTGTGATTCGATAAGGATCGAAAAAAAATAAAACCAGAGCTTCGGAATGTGGTGCTATCAACTTTGCCAAATCTATTTTCTGGTTGTTATCTTCGATTCCTAATGCAATTTTTGTCCACCATAATATTCAATATGATAAATACGAAGACCGAAATGCCATACATTTTTATATACATTCTTACATACTGGGCATTTTTCCGGGATCGAAAAAATAAAACCAACTAATTTGCAGAATATCGATGTTATCTTGGCGATTATCGTTATTATATATTAATACATGTAAATGTATATATACATGTATCGGTATTGATACGTATCGATATCTCTCATTTAACGTTAACGTTAATACATGTAGCGTCTATGGAATAAACAATGATAACGATAACGATAATGAGTAAAATTGAAAAGGGACGTATCCAATACTGCGCTATAATGCCAATTTTGATTGTAGATTTTATATATAATAATCAATCTGACCAATCATAACTCTATTTTATAATGTAAACGCAAAAATTGTAAAGAAAAAGAAATTTTAACCAAATTATTAACTTAATCAAAAAGCTATCGCTATCGCTATCCTTTTTGTTAACGTTAAGTTATTTTTTTCATATTATTTTTCCTCTTTAAGTTATAAAACTTGATACATACATGTTTCATGTACGTATGATGCATCTAAAGTAATACAAACATGACATGTAGAACGCTATTTGTACATGTAGTATACGTACGTATTTTCTTTACTTCGCTATGAGAGCAAAAAGATAAATTAGCTTTTGTTTCTACGATATCAAAAAAAATGTCATCTTCGTCTTCGTTTAACGCGAATAAATGGTTAGAAACCGCGATATCAGAAAATCAAATAAAATT